CATCATTGACCTTGACTGTCCCTGTTCCTTTATTAATGAGATTATCACAGAACCCCAGCTTGAACTTGCTGTTGAAGTTGAATTTGAATATTTCAGCGATGCAACCCCAGGGCTATAAGTTAATAATGATACAATTTGCGAAGATAAAGATTACATTGATAGGTTTATCAACACTTGTAAGTGTTTAGATAGTTTTTTTTTTAAATTTTAAAAAAAATAATCATTCAAATTGCAGACAAAATATCTGGAGACGTCAAAGATATGATCACAAAAGCTGGTCAATTGACATATTCCTTCAGGATGATAATGTACAGCAAATGATACAATTAAATGGAAAGGTGAACATTCAATTTCATATATTCAATGGCCTGCACAAAGTCCCGACCTTAATCCCATTGAAAGGAGGGTGGTTCAATTAATGGAGCAACATTCTTATATAATGTTATACACCGTATATTACACTTAACAGTTGAAGATGAAAAGCTCATGAAATTATACTGGTTTGTAATTTTGGGCTTTTGATTAAAAGTATTTGGCAAATCTACATTTTGTAGGATATGAGGCTGTTTGTTTTGCCAAAAATAATTCTTTTTTTTTGTAAAGCAGTTAATGATGTTCTTTTATTTAAAGACATTATTGAATTTATTTTTAATTGATTTGTTAACTATAACGCAAAATTAAATAGATAACCAATGGCATGTGATATATGATCATCAGAAAAAATATTATTATTTACTGTATTTGAAAAGTGAAAAAAACCAAATAAATAGCTTTTCCCCTTTAATTATCATCATAATACCAAGAAAATTCTTCTGATGAAATCCATCTAATTTTATATTTTAAATATCCAAATTTTGATATTTCTCTAATAAATTTCTTAATATTAATAGACTCACCAAAATTGAAAAATTTTCACCAAGGGTTTAGGTCCTTTCTAGTGTACAGTGCGGATCATCTATACTCAAAAATTTTCGAAATATTATTATGATGTCAAATTTTCTTTAATTCGAGAGTTGTGCTCAGAAATGCAACAATAATTTCCCGTGTTACAATATTTTAATTCTTGCGACTTGTAGATCTCTGTACAACTGTAGCTGATAAAAGTTTTTTTGTCATTTGATTAAACAAACATTTATATAAAGTAAAAATGTCAAAAGCATCACAACCAGAACTTAAAAAGTATATAAATATATATAAATTATATATATGACGTATTTTTTTCCTCTTCATTAAAATTCAATTCAATTATTTTAGATATATGGAAAAACGCTTATTTATCCAGCTTAATGGAGGACGCAAAGTAACAGGTATTCTTCGTGGGTATGATCCTTTTATGAATTTAGTATTGGATAATACAGTTGAAGAAGTATCAGCAACAGAAAAACATAATATTGGAATGGTGGTAAGTATTATATATGCATGTGTGATGTGCGTTTAAGGTGTGTGTATATATATATCACATATATTGAATAAATTATATGATTTAATAGGTCATTCGTGGTAATTCGGTAGTGATAATGGAGGCGCTGGAAAAGATTTGATTAATGTGATGATGATTAAACAAAAACCAAGGAATAAAACAGGGACAATAAATAAAATTTAAAGTTTTTAATTTTTAAATTATTTTATTTTTGATATTTATAATTCTGGATATTTAAATTTGAAATATTCCTCGTCAAAATGATGTACACGAACATAACCATCTTCACCGCCTGATGAAAAACTTTTCCCATCTGGATGTACAGCAATAGTATTAATAGGTCCAAAATGACCTTTCACCCTTCCAACTTCTTCTTCTAGAATTTTATGCCAAAATCTACACTCGAATTTTCCTTGCCTCAAGGTGGTTGTAGTAACTTGCATGGCATCTTGTCCACCACCAAGAATAACAAATTCTTGAACAGGTGTTATTGCTGCAGAGTTAAGCGGTACATCGGTGGAATATTTTTTTAAAGGACTTAGTGTATTTGATTCAAAAATTTGTGCTGATTTGTCTTTGGATGATGTGATGAAATAAGTGCGATCATTTGACATCTGAAGATCGGTTATTTCGGCTGTGTGTGGATGAACTGTTTTTAATTGTTCGCCAGTCTGATTAAATAAACATTTCCAATTTTATAAATCTAAATATAAAATCAAACCCCATAAAAAATAAAAAAATAGCAATACCACTCGCTACATTAACAACAACTAACCTTCCAATCATATTGAGAAACGGCACCATTTTCATGACCAGTTATTATATATCTATTAAGATATCCCCAAGTTGCCGCCATTGCCTTTGATCCTTCAGGATTTATGATTTTAATTGGTTCGTCAGATTCTATTATTATTGGAAAAAAGAAAAGTTAAACAATTAATTAATTTGATGAATTGTTAAATTTCTAAAATTTTTATCAAGCATTTAATTTACGTTTTGCTTCAACATCATTAACAATTGGTAAAATTACAATCGATCCAGAATATCCCATTCTTTGTTCAGTTATAGCAAGTGCCATAGCATCATCTTCTGAAAACGCTACACATTTAACAGCTGTTTTAAATTCCCATGTATGTAAACATTTTCCAGTTTGAACGTCCCAAAGTTTTGCAGTGTTATCTGCTGATCCTGTTAAAAGAAGTGTATTGGTAGCTATTCGAAAAAAAATCAATGATATTAAGTCATAACATATAATTTTTATTTTTAAAAAATCATAGTTATTCTTCAAAAATTTCCCCGGAAAAAAAGATACAATTAACGTCAACAGACCAAATTGCACCAACGTGACCGTTATAAGTTCCTAACCGTTCGCCATTATGAGAAAACCATGCATTAACAACATGATCTTTGGATACGCTGAACAATAAATCACCTTCTTTGTTATATTTTATTTGAGTAAGAGAACGAGTGTGTCCTTGTAGTAATATTGGTCTCTAAAAACAAAAAAAAAAATTTGATTTTAATATAATAATATTTAGAATGAACTATATATATATATTGAATTTTTACCATTGTAATTTATTATTTTTGAAAAATCTAAAAAAATTTGCACGTACAACCAACCAGTGATTGATTATGTTAATTTTGAAAAAAAAATTTTTTATTTATCTTTTTTTCAAGATTTATTATTTAAAACGTTTAAAAAATGTCTGCTGAACAGGTTTAAAAAATAAAATTTATATTTATTCGCTTTTAAAAACCAGTCAATCTTTTAGGCGAAGCAATTAAAATCAATTTTTTATAACTGACAGGTTGAAAAAGCATATCAAAAACAAGGAATCTTTCAAAATTCAAAAATCACGACCAAAAAAGGCAAGAAAAAGAGCGGTAGATGGTATAAAGATGTTGGATTAGGCATTAAAACTCCAAAAGAAGCCATCGAAGGAACTTATATAGATAAGAAATGTCCTTGGACAGGAATGGTTTCTATTCGTGGTAGAATCTTGTCAGGAGTTGTTGTGTCTGCAAAAATGAAGAGAACCATTATTGTTCGTAGGGAGTATCTTCATTACATTACAAAGTATAACCGTTATGAAAAACGGCATAAAAATGTGGCAGCTCATTTGTCACCTGCATTTATTGGTGTTCAAGTAAGTGGTTTTATTTGAATACCTGAATTTTGAAATTTTGAAATTTTGATCGTTGAGATTTATCATAATTCCCCCCACTACTTTAAATTTAGTCTGGGGATACGGTCACTGTTGGTCAATGCCGGTATGTAATAATAATCCCTTTTGATTTATATATATGTGTTTCTTTGATGTTTAGACTCTTTATTAAATCAAACAAATCCCGATCTCAATCTCTTCAATTATTATTATTCAATATTAGTCCTCTTTCCAAGACTGTTCGCTTTAATGTTCTCAAGGTTCAAAAGCAAGTACAGAAAGGTTCCAAGAAATTTTCAAAGTATGTGTATAAATATATTGATTAGTATTGATTTTTTTTTTTAAAAAAAACCACTTTTCTAATTCTTTTTTTTTAATAGGTTTTAAAATAAAGATATAAATTAATTATTTTCAATACAAATGTAATTTCTTTTCAATTAAAATAAAAAAAAACTTGATTATATAACTATATATTATTTTTAACAACTAGATGAATAGAACGATGTCAAATCATTCGAATTAGAATAGCTATCCGAATGATATTTATTTATATAATAGATAGGTTGTTGCAACATGTCGATTGGTATCGATTTATGGCGTCATTCAGTAAAATAATTGACATCAATTTCAAAATCGGATACCTTTTGGTTTACTAATGATTAAAATATTCTCATTTAGCAATAAATCGATCCTTTTTTCGATCGATTTGCTATAGTGAATACCCGATTGAGCTCCATTTAATTAATCGGATATCATTCAGATAATTAGTTATTTAAAATCAATCAGCATTCAGGCTAGTATTAAACCACAGAATTATATGTATATCCAATTGCTTTTATTTTAAATTATAAATGTGAATCGATTTATTTTTCAAATAATAATAACCCAATGTAAAATGATTTTAAAAATTTAAAATAACCAAATTCTAGCTTTCAGAACGCTCTTCTTTTATCTCACACAGTTTCAAAATGATTGATTTCCTTTATCTCACTTTGACGGCTATTTGAGGACACCGCACAATTGTAAATGAAATGGTATTCCGCAGCAAAACCCAATTATATTTGTCCATTTTGAAAGCTATGGACAAATTTTTAATGCATACAGTTGGCGCTCGAAATAGTAAAGTTTTGGCTAGTACAAATTTGAAGACTATCTTCAGAAAAATTGAATATTAACGCAGATAGTTTCCAAATTTGTACTAGCCAAAACTTCGCTATATCGAGCGCCGACTGTATGCATTAAAAAAAAAGTTTGATAGTGTTATTATTTAATAATTGGTTCAGGCAATATGTACTCTAAGTGTCTAATAATTTTTTTATTGTTAAAGTCGAATAATAATAAATGAATTTTTTATTTTAATTAAAAAGAAAAATTCATTCCTTAAAGCTTAATTAATTCATAAATGTATTTATTTAAAGAGCCAGTTCACCAAGTTTACCATCACTTATTATCGGTTTATGACTTCCCAAAAATGAGGAAGAAATAAGTGTAACACCACCAAGTGGTACAATTGCGATAAAAGCTACATGTAATGCTCTGACATAAGCACTTATTACCAGTCCTCGTATTGGATCAGGTAAATGTAAGATAAATTCAACAGATTGTTTTATTAAATCTACTGGAACATCTGGTGGCAAATTAAGTGCATCAACGTTTTCCTCCAATTTATTTTGAAATATTGTACCAATAACTGCTACACCAAATACAGCCCCAATAAATCTAAAGAATAACAATAAAGCAGTAGTGGGCGCTAAATCGTTTATAGATACAATCTGTTGACCAAGTAATATTGTAGTTTGCATAATTGATCCAACGCCAAAACCAGTAATTAACATATATCCAATTTGTGGTCCACGTTCAGTAGTTTCTGTCCATGTAGTAATTAATCCTGATCCTACAACAACCAAGACAGCTCCAAACATACAAATTGTTCTAAAAGAAAATACGTTTGTTCGTGATACTAATTGTCCTATTATTATAGATGAAAACACAACTCCTAATATATAAGGAAGTAATTCTAACCCTGATGCAGTAGCTATATATATAATTATAAAAAATTTAATGGAGATTTTCCCATTAAAATAAATGATTAAAGAAAGTTATCGAAGAATAAATGAATTGACAATTTACCTGATTCACCCTTTACAATTTGGAAATAAAGCGGAGCATAATATATAAAGCCAAAAAATACCATTCCATGAAAGAAATTTACTGCAAAGCTTGCAACAATATTTAAATTCTTAAATAAATGGGCTATAATAAAATTTTTAATATTTTACTTGTAATTAAAAAAAAAATTTTTAAAATAAATAAAGACTTACGTGGTGCAACAGGTTCAAGTGCAATCTTCGATTCGATTAATCCAAAAGCAACAAAACATAAAGCCCCAACACATAGTAGCGATATTATTATAGCAGAATTCCAAGCATATTGACTACCACCCCAACTCAATGACAATAATAGTAAAATTGTAGCAACCATAATCATCACTGTGCCATAATAATCGACTCTTTTTAATTTGGCTAGTAATGATCCGGTTGGTCCTGGTAACTTCAAAAATGCTACAACAGTTACAATTGTTACAACTCCAAGTGGTAAGTTAATATAAAATGCCCATCTAACAAATAGCATTTTATTATTATTGGTTAAGTGCATATTACGTAAATAGATGCAAACATACAACATACCTCCAAGTCACGTGGTCCGTAAAAGCACCTCCTAACAAAGGGCCAACAACGGAAGCGATACCAAAACATGCACCAATCAATCCTTGATATTTACCACGATCTTGTGTTGGAACAATTTCAGAAATAATTATTATGACAAGACTAAATATGCGAGAAAGAAATTAGAAAAATTTAATTGATCATTGAAATTTATCAGTAAATAAACTTTCTAAACCTTATAATACCACCACCACCAATTCCACCAAGTGCACGAAATATTATCATTGCTTCCTAATCAATTAGCAATGTTTATTAGCACATATGCAATTTTTTTTTATATAGTATAACTGAATCAACCAACCATATTTGGCGCCAATCCACATAATAAACTGGCAATCTCAAATATTATTATTGAAAATAAAAACGTTGATTTACGACCAAAAATGTCTGAAAGTTTTCCATAAGTTGTTTGAAGAGCAGTCTAATAAGAGCACACAGATGTAATTATTAATTAACACTTTTATATTTAATAATGTGATAAAACCATTACCATTGTTAGTAGATAAGCTGTTGCAACCCAAGCGATTTGATCTAATGCTTTAAATTCTGAAGCTATTGCAGGTAATGCTGTCGAAACAATTGTTTGATCTAAAGCTGCTAAAAATACCGCAAACGCTAGACTAATTTATTTTTTATAAATATGCAGAAAGTGCAAATGAATAATAATGATATTGACGTTAATCAATATTTTAAACATATGCGCAATGTGTGCGGATAATAAAGATAATGATATGATAAGATAAATACCCAATCATAACTAATGCCAATTTTAAACCCGATAATCTTATTTCTTGGGCTTTGTTGGCTTCTGGATCGTCTTTTATACTACGGATCGCTTCATTTAATTTATTATTATCGTCTATTATAACAATGTTATTTGTATCATTCATGGTGCTAGAAGTTGTATTATTACTTAATGGTTCATGAACAAGTTCTTCCGAAAGATTTTTTTCGTTTGGTGACATTTTTTTTTAATTATATTAATATACTATTTTTATTTTTATTTTTCAATAATTTTTTTTCGAATAAAAAAAAATTTTTGCCATTAAATAACTTTTTTTTCATTGTGTAAAAAAAACAGACGAAATAAATTCGCGTGTCAAAGAAAATCGGTGAGATATTTTTCCGATGTGCTGAATAAATTAGTTTTAGTAATATTAGTAATACATTAATCGGGTATCGGGTAAATTATAAAAACTATCCTATTAAGGCTCATTTGCGAAATACTAATTAAATTCATGATTATGTATTTATGTATTTAACCAAAAATATTGTACAATATTCAGAAAAAAAAAAGTAATAGCGTTACCAGACTCATAACCGGAATTTATCCACGTGATCGGTTTCACGGATACCGTGAATACAGGGCCCACACAGGGCGCAAAAGTATTAATATTAACATTAATAAATTTCAAATTGACACGGACGAAAAGTCATGGAATGAGGTTTAACTTATTTGTAACTCTAAATTGGCGATAATTTTAATAATGACAATCAATAATGAAGAGACGATAAGAGTAGTGTAGCAGTTGAAGTTATAAAACCATTGATAAAGCTGTTGACAAGAAAATGGTGAATGATGAAATTTAGTGTGACTACAAGCGAAGATCCATGTGCATCTTTGTTTAGAATGAGAAAAATCAAATTTCGATTTTTTCCTTTTTTTAGAACTTGGTTTAAGGTTACGAAGGAGCAAGGTTGTGTTCTTAATAATCTAGTTAGGAATATTATAATTGTGAAATTATCAACAATAATATGCAAAGTATTATTTTTCCATGTTTAGCTGGCCTGGAAAGTATAGCAAAAGTGCTAATATTAGGCTAATACATTAAAAACATCAAGCAACAAATTAACTGTTTGAGATGCGTCGGCTTAATTTATCTTCTTGATGTATATACCAATTAAATTTATTACAACTATGGGAAATTAAAATGTTGTGAACAAATTTCTGTAACAAGTTACATATAGAGTGTCATCTTTTTATTTTATCATCCAAACATTATTGATTATTATTATTATTACATTATTAATTCGATTGTTATTTATAAATATTATATAAATCATCATTTTCGTCATCACCATAATTGTCATTTTTTATAAAACCAACTACCCTTTTCTTTATATTTATCGTCCAATTGATATTTATTATCAATCAATTTGTCTAAACTAAAAAACAATTGGTCATTGTCATTCCATTCAAAATATTGAAGCTCGACTTTAACTCCATTTTTAACTTTATCACGTTGTCTTTGTTCAATCTCACTCTAACAGAATAATAAAAAATTATTATTATTATTATTATTATTATTATTATGTATAACAATATAAACGTAATTTTTCCCCTACTTACTTTTAATTTTGAAGCAGTAGCAAAATCACCTTCATTTATAGCTTTAGCTACATATCTCCATAACTTCCTACTTTCTAAATCACCTTGCTCGTCTATTGGAGCTACGATCGGAGTTGCTCTTTTAGAATTTTCAATATCGAGAAACGTTGATTTTTCTTTTGTGTCCACTTTCTCTAAACTAGATCGACCTGACCATGTGCCTGTTGTTACATATAATGGTTCTTTGGATTCATTACGACGCACTACTCCATTAAAGCTATGTTTTTCACCTGATAGCCATCCCTTTCCGCTAAACTCAATAATGACCTTATAATTTTCTGATTGTATTACACTTGTTCCACTATACGCAAGTATACAGTAAAATGTATTAATGTGGTGAGCGTACAAGTATAATTAAGTGTGGTTAATAACCAAGTATATGATCTTTACTTGTTTTTTTTATCAATCATGCTTTGTAAATATAAGAAGAACGTATAATTGTGATTAATTATAATACCTTAATTCTACATATGGAGCACCTCTCCATAATCCAAGAATTTGTAAAGATGGAAGAGTTATCAAATAATGTTCAGGGTGATCTCTTAGACGAATTAGTATATGTCCAACTTGTATTACATCAATACGTGCTGCAGTAGGTCTGAATTGACTTTTTTGTCCAGCTTTTTTATTTGATAATCAAAAATATTGAATATTAGAAAACCAGAAAGAATGTTTTACTCATGTATATTTCATATATGAATTACATACTATGACCATTTGCTGACACTCCAGCCTTTTTATTTTCTAAATAAAAGGCTGAAACAGGTGGATGATGACTAACTTGTTCTGAAAACAAACTAGTTTCGCCACATCCATTTATATCATTCCATTTTGCAAAGAATTGTTCGCCTTGTTTGTTATTATTTATTATTATTAAATAGGTTCAGAATTAAAGTTAAAAACAAAAAGATTTCAATGGGAAAAAAATATAATAATAAAAATATTACCTTACCAAGTATAGGATTAAATGGCTTCTTCTCAATTTTTTCTTTATCTTTACGTGAAGAAAATGATCCGTACAATGTGCTTACATACCATCTGAAAACATTAATAGCCCTGTCAACTTCTATACTTGGTTTAGAAATATCGGCAAAAAGTTCTGGATAATCTGCCCAATATTGTCTATACATACATGCATTATTAATTTGATGGAAGTTATTTTATATATTTTATTATTGTGATTTGTTGAATAATGATGATAAGCTATATAGTTCTTCCTACCCATATTCTAGAGTGGAAACACCAGATAATAAGAAACTTGGACATGTCAAACTATAAATATCTCCAGTAAATGTGGACAGAGTCTTTAAAAACCCGTTAAATTCAGTTTTTCTGCTCTCAGAGGTCACGATGTCTGTTTCAACGTCTCCACTATCAGAACTATTCATCTTTGATGATCTATTTCAAAATTGTCCAATTTTTTGTAGTACAGTATAGTGTTGGCACGTAGGGTCTAACCAAATACGAAAATTAGTTTATTACAGCATGGTGGATATTCAATTTGTGTTACAAAGTAACATGTGCACTCGGACAATCATATTTGAACTGGTATGTAAGAAAACATCTATAATATATACTAAAATTCTAATGTCTGTCACTTTTTAGCGATTTGATTGGTCGGTTCTATGCACTATGATTTAATGCGCAGCGGTTATAGAGTCATATAAAATATATAAACAATTAAATTTATTATTATTAATATTATTGATATTAAATAAAACAGCGGATTTCTAAATTACAATCTTTTGCAAAAAAAAAAAAACATAGCGGATTTCTAAATAACAATTTAATTTATTATTATTAATATTATTGATATTAAATAAAACCAGAATTAAATTATTATTATTAATATATTATTGATATTAAATAAAACAGCGGATTTCTAAATAACAATCTTTTGCAAAAAAAAAAAACAACGGATTTCTAAATAACAATCTTTTGCAAAAAAAAAAAAAAACATAGCAGATTTCTAAATAACAATCTTTCGCAAAAAAAAAACCCCCCATCATTTTTATTTATTACTTTCAAATCAATAAATTTTTTTAATTATAATTGGTGATGAATAATTCAGCAAAAACATTAGTGTGAAAACTTTTGTTACTATATGATCAATGAAAAAATCATTGTTCAAATAATTTAATTGTTTTTAAACTGATTTTATAAAAATTTGAAAAAAAAAAGAAAATATATATATAAATACATATAGCTTCTCTTTTAAAAATAATCTTATGTGCAATTTGATAAGGTTGAAATAGACAAATATGCAGACATGTATTCATCCCAAGAATTACCCTAATGTCAACTGAGAATGCTGGGTTACCCTTTGTATTAAAAAGAAACCAATTTCCTGTACGACCAGCATTTGCCTTGACAATAAACAAGTCCCAAGGCCAAACACTGTCTCATATTGGTCTATACCTACCACAACCTGTCTTTACTCATGGACAATTGTACGTAGCCATGTCGAGGGTACGTTAAGAAAGTAATCTCAAGGTATATGTGAAAAATGGGGCAGTGCAAGGCAAAGATGGGACTTATACAAATAATATTGTATATAAAGAAGCTTTAGTACTATAGACATTATATATATTATAATAAAATATAAGAAAAAAATTTGTATTTTTTGTTGTTAAATAAATATAATATAAATAAATAATATATTATAAAAAAAATCACTATAACAAATTCAATATAAATAAAATAAAGTAACTAACACAAAAAAGCTAATAATAGGCACAAACGTAAGGATGTGCTCAAAATTCTATGGTTGGCTCGGTCTAAAGACCTCCTATTTCTGCGCCACGTGTCCAAATTTCAAAACTAGCGATTTTGTAATTTGTTCAAAAATGCAATAAAAATTTTCGAAAATAGGACTTCACGTGATTTTGGGTTTAAAAATTTTTTTCGTACTGCCAAATTTAGATATGATGGTCATGTATTAGTCTAAATTTAGAAATGATTTTTGTAGTTTGGTCTAAATTTAGTAATGATCCTAGCGGCCAAATTTCTCATGAACATAGTAAAGTACATGTTCTAAAAAAGAATAGAACTCTACAACAAATGATTTTTTTGAGAATATCTCATTATTACATTAAAACTAAAGACCTATTCTATCAACTAATAACGTTATTTTTTTAAAAGATAGGACAGAAAGTGACTTCTATACTTTTAAAATTTATGCAAATCTTAGGAGGTCTTTAGACCGAGCCAACTATAGTATATATAAAAAGTTGTGAAAAAATACTCAGAATATCTTAATAAAATGGCTAGTGAGTTTCCTTTTGGGCCTTTTTTTTTAAAACCCCAATTTTTATTATGTAAATGCTTGAAGATCTGACTGGTGTTTTAACAAGATTACTACCACTTTTCTCAATACCAGTTCAATTATAATTGTCCGAGGTCCTTGCGCATTTCTATATATCAATTTATTTGTTTATTGTGATACAGAAATTGAAAATTTTATTGGTTGATCAAATAATAAAATAACAATATAAATAAATAGTGAAAATTAATTTTCAGAAGTATTCATTAAAGGTTCTGGAACAGGCTCTAATTTATTTTTTAAAAAATTATCATTAGAAACTATAAAATAATAAAAAAATTTTATTATAAATTTTATTTACTTGTTGTAATGCAGCTCTAATATTTATATTGAGATTGTTTGATAGTAAGTTAGAACTGAATTCATCAAAATTATCATCATCATCATCATTTGGTGATGAATCTAATTCATCAGGATTTCTAATTCAATTTGAACAGTTTTTGTAACTTGACTTTCCAATCTAACATTGTAAGAGGATGATATACATTAATTCCATCTACAAGATAATCTAAACAATAATGACATTTAAAACCCATCTTTTGAAAACACTCATTATGATATCCATGACCACATATTAGAACCTTTCCATAAAGCTGTAATTGATCAATTTCTATATTAATACCACTATTTTTTTACATCACAAAATATGGAGGACTTTTTGTGTGATATCCTGTAGGCAAGGTCCTTATTCATACTAATCCCAAGCATAATAAATTTTCTCTTATTTTGTATTTGTTTATTTTTTTTATTATTTTTTATTTCTTTTCTTTTCTTTTAGTGAGGTAATATTTAATGAATTTTATTTAGTAGTTTTTAGATATGTGCCTGGCTTGGTAGTAAAGAGGAAAATGGCTAGAAGGACACCCACCAAGAAACATGTTCAGGTATCTAAAGATATTATTTTAGTATTTCTTATTGTAAGGAATTGTTTGATGATAGTGAAAGATAATTTTGAGAGTAGAGCATAAATATGCATTCATGGAAATTGTTGTTATGATTTAGTATAAATAAATTGTATTAACATTGTTGGCATATTATTATAAATAAAATATTGAGATTTACTGTGAGGCATGGATTTTTATCTCACAGTGATCATTTTTATTATTATTTATAATGTTTATAGATGATAAAAATGTTAAAACAGTATATATAAATGTTGAATATAAAAATACTAATAAAATAATAAATAAATAATAGTAAATGATGATAAGAGGAGGCATGGTGATAGGGTTTGCTTTAATTTAAAATAGATAGCATATAATTATTAAAAAATTTTTTTTTGATAATAATAAGAGGTGCTTGTTCACCATATAACACGTTACATGTTTTTCAATCCCGGTAAGAATTAAACATTTTATATAATAATAATAAATAATAATAATAATAGTGATAATAATAATAACAACATTATTATTATTATTTTATTATGATAGATGATGTGGATTGGTTTAAACCTGTTCAAATGACAACAAAATATGGACGCATTGGACATATTAAAGAATCATTGGGTACCCATGGATACATGAAATGTATATTTGATTCACCTATTACACAACAAGACACTGTGATGATGAACCTTTATAAACGTGTCTACCCGAAATGGGATACTACAAAAATTTGGAATAGTAGATTGAAGGATGAATGTATTATCAGTAATGATAACAATGATAATGACAATAATGTGAAAAGAGTTGAAATGGAAATTTAAATGGGAAATTTGATATCATTAAATAAATATTTATCATTTATTTAATATCTATTAATATATATATTTTTAAAATTATTATTAACATATACTTATTTATGTAAATTATAAAAAATAAAATAAAATAAATATACTATATATTTATTATTACTATACACATTGTGTATAAATACAATTTGAATAAATAAATAAAAAAACCATAAATTCTTCAAATTTTGAATTATTCTTCATGATGTAAAGATCGTTTAGGAACTATTAAAGGATGAAGTTGTGCCAGATAAGTGATGGCCCACCTATATATCATTCATTAATTATTATTATTAGTCAATTAGTTCATTCATTTTTTCTTTTTTTAAAAAATTGCAAACTTACATTAAATAACAACAAATTAAAGACAATATTAAACAAGTTCTTGTTGTACTAAAATAATAATAATTAAAATAATTTAGTTGAAATCATTTAAAAAAACCTTCCTTCCTTCCTTCACTAATTCAAAACATTTACTTACGTCTGGTTTTGTCCTTTTGGAACTATGACATAAGAAACGAACACTCCTCCTGACACGCCTAAACCTATCCATATAATATTTAAACCACTCATATTTTATAATTATTGTTCTTTTTTTCCCAAGAAAAAATTTAATAAAACAATTAATTTAAAATAAAATAAAGAGAGATTAGATCAAACTAAAATCTGTTTGTTACACCTTATAAATGCAAGGAAATCAAAATTTAGTGTAATAATAATAAGTGATGATTTCTAAAAAGGATTACATTTATTTTTTACTTTCTGAAGGAGCCAAAACTTTTCTCAAAGAAAATATAGTTTATTAGATGATAATAATAATAACCAATCAAAAAGATAACGGAAACCAAAAAATAAAAATACATATATGAATATCCTTCCTTATATTTTCTTGCTGATAGCAAAAACAAAGGCTTTATTATTGTTGTTATTATTGGAATTGGCCTTGCGAGGCATCCTTTTGGTTAACTTCAATTATTATTTTTACTTTTATGACTCTCGAGTTCGAATTAACTTTGGCTTTTGTCGATTAATTACAAGCAAATTGTGCTTTGCGCTCGTCAATTATTTATTTTATGGATTTATTTATCAACTTACTTTGGTTCTTTTGCTTACTGTCTCTTTCATGTAACTAAAAGCTTTGGCGAATCTGTAAGCACACACAGTATGGTCCAAATAATTATGTCCCGATTTATTTCAGTGGTTTATACTGCAAACTTTTGTTAGTTTGGTTTATTTACAAAACATGTATGTTTTTATAATAGCTCTTTAATACTTTACAATACAATAATACTGGCCGTTTTTATTATATACAGCCAAAGTGTTTCCGATTTATTTCAGATTTATACATTATTACTTGGTAAATAACTGTTAACTCCTTATACCAGGCCAATCAGTCTTCACACTACGTTTTCACTTGAACATTTAACAAATAAGAATTTCAATACTAACACTTGGTTACTCACTAAATCAAATAACGTCATTAATTGTTGTTAACGCTCAACAGTTATCCAGCGTTACTCACTAAAGCAAATAAACGTGACCTTTTACCAAAACCTCACAATTTACAATTGCTGCGTTTTATCAAAAAAAGTTTATTTTACGATTATTTTATTTAGAATACTAATGTGGTGGTATTTGTGCTCTTTCAAGCGAAGACCCAAAGTTTCTGGAAAACTTTTATAGATCATTTCAATAAGTTTTACATATAAATAAAAAAATTTAAATTTATATATATAGGAATATCAGTAAGACTTAATTTCTAGAGTGAAGAACAAAGATCAAAATTAACATAAATAATAATACATACAACTTATTTGTTCTTTATTATATTTTAGTGCAAATTTTTTCGCATTCCCATGTCCATATAAACCAGCTTTCTCAACATTACAATTGATTGAGGTAATCAACTCAACCCCACTCATATAAAATTAAACAACCTATTTTGTCACAACCAGCTTCTTCATGATTTGAAGCTGTTCATTACAAGTCATTGAATTTGGAATATGAATTGCGGTTAAAAGACGATAATGAAACTGCTAATGTATAGTAATTTTAATAATCTGTAAGTAAACTAAAATTTGTTTTTTTTGATCCCAGTTATTGTTGATCATTCCTTTTTATAATATTAATAAATTATGTAAAAAGTCATGTTGTATATATACAAAAAAAAAAACAAAAACCACTTTTGAAACCAACTTTAAACAAAAACTCTTATCCATTACTATATAAATAAACTCATTTAGAAAAATGTTGTTTATTGAATCAACAACAATGAAATTTGTTGTATATATACAAAAAAAAAAACAAAAACCACTTTTGAAACCAACTTTAAACAAAAACTCTTATCCATTACTATATAAATAAACTCATTTAGAAAAATGTTGTTTATTGAATCAACAACAATGAAATTGAAAATTGGAATTATAAACATAAATAAGATAACAAAAGAAGATGAAATAATTTGGGGCATGCTGCAACAAAACCAGACAAAGTGAACATTGGTATTACCAAGGATTTCAGGGATCAAAATTTAGTAATGTGATTATTAAAATCTTCCATTTGTTATCTTAAGTGATATATAGAACTATCCCTATGTAAAAATAGTTAATATGAAACTCATTTATATCAGATCTACTATGGAACCCAAGAATTATAGTACTATCAGAAGTATTTTAAAAAAGGGACAAGGTGAAAAAATTGCTCCTTATATTTTCAAAATAAATGATACTCAGACACTGGAAGCTTATCTAAGAAAAGAAAGAATTACCTATGAAATTTATCAAGAGAAAAGTAAGATTATAACTAATAAAAGAAATTTAACACAAAGTTTATGAAGAACCTAAAAAGAAAAGGAAGTTTGAAGAAAAATAAACTTCTTAGTGTAATAAACATGTGTAATTAACACTACTTTGGTTAAATTTTTTCTTCTTGTCAAATATACAAAAACTCCTATTGCCACCCCTATTATTTCTCCTAATAATAAATAAGATAAATAATTGGTTGAGTCAGTTGAGGGTAATTGTTCTTGCTTTTGCTCAGTAACTATTTGGTTAAGTTCCAATTGAGATAAAGAGGTTTTACTAGTACTTTTTAAATAATTAAATATTTGTTGTAACCAACTTTATTATTATTATTATTATGGTATTCAACTACTAATATATTATCACTCTTAAGAAAACAAAAAACTGTTCTAATTGTTCCAAATCAGAAAGAGAGAAAGGTTTTGGTTCTTCTCCCTCAAATTCATAAACATTTTTATTTTCATTTTCTAACTGCTCTTTTTTTTTGCTTCTCTTTTTCTTTTTTTTTGTTCTAATTCAGTTAGTAAGTTAGTAACTTGTTCTTTAGTTTCTTCACTTAGTAAGTCCTGGTCTAATGATTCTAATTCAGACATTAACCCATTAGAAGACATTTGATCTTGATTAGTTAAGAGGCCTTGAGCTTTCTGGTTTTCTTCCTCTTCCTCTTCCTCTTCCTCTTCTGTGGTTTTTACTCTCCTAGGTTCTCTTTTTAAAGGATTTTCTACAAAATTCATATAACAAATGTTACATAAAAC